GTGCATAAAATGACACTTTTTCCTAAAAAATAATTAGAGGAAAAATTGAGGGTCGTTTTATACATTTTATCCTTGCAATTGGGTGGTGGCGGCAGCAGTCAATGGGCAGTGGCGAGAAGTGGCCGTGCCCAGCTGCTCCTTTGCTGCTGTCTCCGCCTCCTGCTGCTGCGTCCCTCGCTGGTTGTGGGCTCATTGATCCTGCAGCCCTTTGATCCCTGCTTTTCACTTCCTTTTGCTAAGCCCCAGGTTTAGGAAGTGGTGGGGTAAGCAGTGATCAAATTTTCTAATTCGGAGTTAGAAAAGTGGGGGCTGTCTTATACATCGGGTCGTCTTATAAACGGAAAAATACGGTAACTAAAGCGTGTGCCACAGTGGCTAGATCAGATTTTCAGGAAACAGACGTAGCTGGCATGCTAGTTTTAATTGTGCAAATGCACTCCTGTCCTCACATCCTGCTTTTCAGCTTCCCAGAAGCATATGGCTTTCCACTGTAAGAACAGAATGCTAGCCCATAGAGGTCTTTGATTTGATCTGGTACGGCTCTGGCATACCTTTGTCTGTAAAACACAAAACAGGCAAGCTCAGTTCTTTTTGTCTCCTTCCCCTGCCCTGACATCACACCAGCTGTATTTTAAACTTGAGAAAGGAAAAGACTCTTGCATATCCTATTGCTGCCCCTGATAAAGTATGAGTTCCTAAGAATGGAGGGCTCCTAAGAGCATGGCCATTGCCCAGGAATTATCAAGCCATCCCTGAAACTGTGGGTCAAATTAGACATACAAGGTGACCATATATTAATATGCATTTGCCTCATTCCCATGTGAATGTATTCTTTGCAGAAAAGGAAGTATATCAGAGAGGGGATCCAGATCTGTTTCCTCTTTCCCATCTATGTTCGTCTTTTACTTCTAATTTTAAGCAATATGCCCAGCTCTGCAATCTGAGGTGAGGAAGGTTGACCTCCAACTTTGGGCTTGAGTAAGTAGATAAAGGAGAGGGCAGGAAGTAACCCTGCAGATTTTCTGCTTTCAGTAACCTCCCCGTTCTTCTGGAATTTGATTAAGAATGCATGCATCTTTCCGAGTGTCAGCAAACCAAGTATACATACAAAATCTGCAACCTAGCTATCAAAACTTTGGGAAACAAATGGCTGAAATAGTGAGATGCTCCATGGCATCAATAAAGCAAAATCAATATAATCAGTTTAGAGACCTGATTATCACGATAACTGATTTAGTAATACTTATGCACAACTAGAGACGGGCACAAACCAAAAAATGAACCGGCACAACTAGAGATGGGCACAAACCAAAAAATGAATCAGGAAGTTTGTAGAAAATTGCTGGTTCGTTGGTTTGGGTTTGTCAAAACTGATGAAACTGATCCGCCCCAAGCCACAAACTTTTTTTTTTACATCTTCATGAACTTCCTGGGGTTGGGTTTGATGAAACTGATCCGCCCCAAACCACAAACTTTTTTTTTACATCTTCATGAACTTCCTGGTTCATTTGTTTCCCCCTGCCCCTGCAGCCTGTCCCCTTTCCACTACACCCATTGTCTCCCTATCTGGCCTTGTTGCCTCTTCCTCTTTGGCCTCCACTGCTGCCACCATCTTGACAGTTGCCCAACTTTTATTGTGGGAGCTGGGCCTGCTGTCTCTCAAGGTGTCAGGGGGAGGAGGCAGCAGGACCAGATAGGGGGGTGAAGATGGTAGTCGGAAGGGCGAAGGGGTCAGGCTGTGAGGGGGGTTTATTTCCTCTCCCCCGTCACAAATATTTTTAAAAAATCAAACCTATTCATGGTTCTTTTTTTTTTTAAGTACAAACAGTTCATGGCCATCTCTATGCACAACCGTCATGGATCCTGCAAAGAGATAAAACAAAGCTCAGAATAAAGCAATAGACACAAAATTCAGCTAAGGCTTTTGATGTTACCTCCCCTCTCTCCTCCCAGCACCACACCTTCTGAAGCAAGTTCCCACTGGCTCTTACAGCTGCAAAGATCTACTTGAATGTACAAAGAGAACAGAAATCTCTGAATTTTTGAAGCTAGAGACCTCGTTGGGTGCAGGGCATTAACTATGACCCACAAAGATAGGGAGGAAAATATGCAAAAGAGAACAAACAGGAAAACAGGACAAATAGGAAAATAAAAGGTAACATGCAAATTTGCTCATCTGCTACAATTCCTAACAACTGCCGCACCCAGCTACTCTTGATGTATAATTTTATTTTTTAGCCAGCCCCAAAGGTGTGGTCTGCAGGGTTAAAAAGCAACGAATAGTCCAATAGTAGGCTTGAACTCTGCAAAACCTGATTCCTCATTTTCTTCTTTAAAATGTGGAAGGTAATGGCTTGCAAAAGCCCTTCCAATTCTCATTGGCTTCTGGGAGTTGGATTTAAATCTCAAGGTAAAAATTTGTTGTCCTAAACTACCCACTGCAACCGCCCACATGTATAATATTACACCTTCAGAATTTAGAAATCTTTGGGATCTCCCCACACAAGTTATTTTGCAAATCCTGTGTACTGCTGGAGAGATTGAAACTGGCTCTTCTTTGTTCATTTCACGAGCACCGCAGTACAATCAATAAACATATCGGATAATTTTTGTCCAATAGGAGGCAACATCAAGAGCATTTCAGGCAGCTAACAGGAAGTCTTCCACGGTACATGTGAAGTAGTACAAGCATCACTGGACAGGTTTGACAACATGGACTTTAGTCACAGCAGTTAATTAGTTCTCAACAAGGTAGCCATGTTAGCCAATTTCAACATATATATATGTTACTTAAAGTAACGGATTACTTTAAGTGTGAGTTTTTGTGGATTACTGTCTACCTGTATCAATATACCTGTTGGTCATTTAGGTGCCAACTCTTTTAGGTTATGTTTTATTTATATATGCTGAGTAAATTACATAGTTCTTTATATTCCATAGGACTCTTTATATATTTTTTTAATTTTTAAACACAATATGCATAGCCAATATATCTATATATTGTGTTTTACTGAAAACAATCATGTATTCCAAGGGCAGTCAGAAGCTAGGCCTGTATTTAATGGTGTCTCTTATTTATTGTTCAGTTCAAGTCTGCTTCAATGAAGGGACCACAGGGATTTGAAGTTACTCACCAACAGTTAACACCTAAACACCACACCAAACAAGCAGAATTTGCACCATGTGTAAATAGCCACCCTATAAACAGCCTCAGTCATATTCTCCTGCATTTATTAAGGGCTCTCAGATTCATGAAAAGCTACTACCAACTACAGTATCTGTGTTCAGAAAGTTAGTCCTGTTAGTCTGTTTCAGAAATAGCAAAAACAAAGAAATAGTATTGCAGCACCTTTAATATAAAGAAATGTATTTCAGTGTGAGCTTTCGTGGTTTACAATCCATTTCTTCAGACAGAAAATTCTTATCAGCAGGTTCCACCTGCACAATGGGAATAACACCATCATAAGTAGTAAACTGCATAGGCATCTTTATCTCAGAGGCATGTACATCCCAAAATCAAAATAGGCAGTCCTTATATCCCACTGATGACAATGTCTGTCTGCACAGGCAGCACTGCACAACAGGATTTTGGCCACTTTACTCATCCAAACTACAGTAGTGGACTTGTTTAGATTTCCAGGGCACACAAGAGAGAAGGGCCTCAAGGCCAGATTCTGTCATGAACCAATTAAATGGTTTTATAGTGGCATCTTCAGCAACTCAGAGCAGAACATGCTGATTGGGTTTTGGGAGGAACTGGGAATAATAATAGTCAGCCACATTGCAAAAATATGTTAATGTTAGGCACTTTGAACCATCTCAGGCTGCAATCCTACACACATACTGCTGAAACTAAGGATTTCCTTCTAACTAAACATGTATAGGATCAAATTGTTGATGGTGCTATGTGTCAGTGGTTCTTAACCTTTGTTACTCGGATGTTTTTGAACTGCAACTCCCAGAAACCCCAGCCAGCACAGTTGGTGGTGAAGACTTCTGGGAGTTGCAGTCCAAAACTCCTGAGTAACCCAAGGTTAAGAACCAGTGCTACGTGTCATCAAGTTGGCACCAACTTATACTGACCCTGATAGGGTTTTCAAAGTAAGGGAGATATTTAAGGATTGGCTTTACCAGTTTCAGTCCCCCCAGTGAGTTTCCATGTCTGAGCAGAGATCTGGAGCCTGGTCTCTAGAGTGCTAGCCCCTTACTCTATCCACTACACCACGTTAGGCACAGGATCTAATTATACCGTAAATAATAAATAAGTATCATCAACATCAATGAAACTAACACAACCCTACATCATGTTTGTGACACAGAATGACATAGTGGTTATTGTGTGTTTTCAGATGTCTTCATGTCTCTTTCCTCTCCAATTTTCCCCACAAATCTGCACTGTGTGAAGATTGGCTTAATAATACACAGTACACATCCTTCTTCTGCCTCAAGCTCAGTGTGGAAAGAAGGAAGTTCAGTTCGGGGAGGAAACATTCTTACTTTCTATTTGCATTAACATTTCTTCCTTACATCCTTAAAAAAACAAGAGAGACCCACAATGAGTAGGGTCTTTAAGGTGCCACAACTAGAGATGTAACATTTCCATTTTTTCCCTGAAAAAAAGAGGAAAATTTCCAGAAATTTTGCATCTCTAGCCACCACATCTTATTTTGCTTTTACATTGTTTTGTGTTCCTTGCTGAAACGCTTACACAGATTAACATGGCTCCAAAAACTATGAGGAGGGTCAAAGCATCTGTGCATTTCTCCTTAGATGCCCATCTTCTTGAAAGGCCAGTCTTCCACTGGACTTGCTGCAAGGGGCCACATTTCTTGTGAAAGATGTCCTCCATTTGAAACTTGCCCGGCCCAAGGCTATTTTAAAAGATTCAAAAAAATAAAAAATAAAAAAAAGGCGCCAGAGTTGGCAAACCTTGAGGTTGCTGCCCATCTCGTTTGCAGCACCTGGACAGCAGAGTCCAGCAGGAGCTACACAGATCAAATGGGCCACAGTCCTTCCCTATTTCAGAGAAAGGCGCTGGAATTCTGCTAAAAAAATAAAACAAGTTTTATTTTTCACGTTTAAATGAGCACAAATCGCACACAAACAGGTTCCCTCTTGAAGGCTTCTTTTCGGTGAGGCGGAAAAGGCCACCCCGTTTCATATTCCCGCACGTTGGAACATGAAGGCAAGAAGCCAGAAACATCTTCGTGAGGGAAAAGAGTCTCTCAAAACCTCCCTCCCGCCGGGCCAGCCGCTTCTTCCCGTGCCCTGCGCCCTCGTTCCGCACGCCGGCCCTCTTCGGCTGCCTCCTCCTCCTCCTCTCCGGCTGTATCGTCCCTTCGCGGCTTCTGCCCGGGACCGCCCGCCGCTTCCCTGAGACGAAAGCTCTTCTGCCGCGTTTGGCCATGGAGTCCGTCGAGGACCTGAGCCTGGGGCCCTGCACCGCCTCCCAATACCTGCGGCCTTTTCGGCTCCGCTACCGCCAGGTAAGCTGGCCGGGAAGGAGCCGCCGCCTCGTCTCCTTCCGCAGCCTAGCGCGGCCCGTCTTCCGTGGGAGCCCTGCCTGGCAAGGCCGCTCTCTCCACACGGAGCCGGTGCTTCGGGGCCTAGCGGTGTGAGGGAGGGAGAAGCGCCGCCCCGGCCGGAAAGGAGACGCGGTTGGGGGGTTGCCCAGTTGTCTTGGAGTCGTGGAACTGCGGGCCGGCTGGGGAGCTCTTTAGGAAGGCCTGTTTCGCTGTTTTCATGCAGGGACACGCACTCTGTTAATGGGCAGAGGTGGCCTTTTCCTCCCCATTTTCCCCCTTGTGACCCTTTCCTCATACATTCTGAGGGGAAAAGGTTGAGTTGAGCGAGGGTGGCCACTTCCAGATCAACCAAAGGGTGTTTTAGTGTTCCTTCTGTTTTCTGTATGGTATTTGTTTGGCCCCTTTTTAGTATTTGCATACACACTGTGGTTAGCTTTAATATTGTCTTTTAATGATGCAAACCACCTTGCGTTCTTTTAAGGAGAAAGGTGGGGTAAAAATATTTAAAATAAATAAATACATAAATATTCTGCATGAACTGAAGTCAGATTCTAAGAGACAGTGCCTCATTTGGCTCAGTTTTCTTGAGGTAATGCACGCGCGTACGTACACACGTACACACACACACACACACACACACACACACACACACACACACACACACACGTATGAATATATATCTACACGCGCGTACGCACACACACACACACACACACACACACACACACACATGCATGTGTATATAAACATTAATTGTTCATTCTTTAGTCTTTGTTTAATTAAAATATTTTTGCCCTATCTTTCTCCTTGAAAGGACCCAAAGTGGCTTACATCATTAAAACACAATATTAAAACTAAAAGTGAGTATACAAATACTACCATGTTTTCCCGAAAATAAGACAGAGCCTTATATTAATTTGTGCTCCAAAAAAACACACAAGGACTTATTTTCAGGAGATGTTTATTTTTATTTTCCATGTACAAGACAAGGACTTATTTTCAGGTGATGTTTATTTTTATTTTCCATGTACAAGAATCTACATTTATTCAAATACAGTCATGTCACATTCTTTTGTTTGCTGCACAAGGGTGAAGGGCAGGGTTTCACTTAACTGGGGCTTACTTTTGGGGTAGAGCTTATAAGCATCCTGAAAAATCAAACTAGGGCTTTTATTTTCAGGGAAGCAGGGTAAAAAGGATAATTTTCATTTATATAATGAAAGTGCATTATGTAGGGCAGAGGTCCCCAACCCCCGGTCCATGGCCTGAGCCGGACTGGGCTGTGGGGACAGACCTTCCCCCACCCCTGCCTGCACTCACCCCTGCACAGCTTGTTTGCGCCTGTGCGAGCATGCCTGCGCCCACATGAGCACTCTGCCACCCTTTTGCACATGTGCATGAGTGCCCCCTGAGCGCAGTGCCGCCCTTTGCACATGCGTATAGGCATGTGCATCCCACACGAGTGCTTCGCATGAGCATGTGTGTGCCCGCATGAGCGCCCTCACTCCTTTGCGCATGTGCATGAGCACGTGCATGCCAGCATGAGCACCCCTCGTTCCTTCATGCGCATGAGTGCAGGGGAGTGCTCTGCCTTCCCCAGCCAGTCCACAGGGCTGAAAAGGTTGGGGACCACTGAGGAAACCTACTACAACTGCTGCCAGTCCAACACACACACCCAACCCCACACCACAAGTGTGCCAGATTCCAGTGATGTGCAGATTTCCTATCCCTGCAGTGATCTATAAAATCATTATTTAATTTATTTTTTCAATTCTTTTTAAAGGACCCACGGATAAGTTGCCAGGCATTGTGTGTGTATGTGGAAAGTGGCTCATCTCTCCTTTTTGGAAAAGAAATGCTTATTTGCTTTTTCAGAGGCTGACTTAGGTGTGCTGCCTGTGGGCTCTTGGGCTGGGAGCCTGTCTTACTATCGGGTTGCAAGGGGGTGGGTTATGACCCCATAGATACTGCAGCTGCGTTGCCAGAGGGGTGGCATGAGGTCAAAAGACAGGCGGCAATGGTTCTTTATTGCAGCACTTTGCAAGGGCAGTCCTTATAGTGTACACGTAACACTGTGTCAGCAAACCCCCACACACAACCAAAGCAGCAATGACTCAGAGAGATAAAGAGAGTCTTGACATCATCCATTTCTGGTAATTAGCATTTTTAAAATGGGGCAATAAAATTCTGGTCTGTTCAATCAACGCTTTCTGTATTCTGGAAAACCAATTCTAGAGCCAAAAATAAACCACAAAAACCTACCTATTTTACATCATCCCCTGCATACTTTCTCATGAAAAGACTTTCATCCACATTCTTGTGTTAAGAGTCAAACATGCCACTCCCAACATTTCCTACTTACCTGTTTACAACTATTTTAAACTGCCAAATTTTTAAAGCTGTGTATGAGTTCCTCTCCCCAACGTCCCACATTTCTACTAGAGAACATGTAACTCTGTCCTCACTAAAAAAGCTGCAGTAATATGCTTTTGGAACCAATGTTGTGTAGTGAGCAGAGTGGAATTAAGGATCAGAAGACTTGTGTTCAAATTCTTGCTCAGCCATGGAAAGTCTCTTGGAGAGTTGGCAGTGGTGAATCACTCCATGAACATTTCAGATACCTTGAGCATTTTATTAGGGTTGCCATAAGTTAGAAGCAACTTGTCTCTACGTTACCAAGAACCAGTATCTTTTGGATGTCTGACTTAAGGAGTTCAGTTCCTCTAAACGTCATAAATTCAGTGCCAGGTTCAACTGTGGTGCTCATTTAAAAATAAAAATTGCCAAGTGTGTTGAGGAAAGTGGTTGTGCAAAAATATGACAAAAGCAAGAACTGTCTTAATATTTCTCATTGAAAAAAATTAAACCCATTCATAAAAAGACTTGAGTGGTACCACATAGGCTTCCTAACTCAACACGAGACTCTAGTGGTTCAGTGGGTAGAGGTTTAATTGGGATTTTGGCACAGTGGCTAAACTGCAGTACTGCACTGAAAACTCTGTTCATGTTTGATCCAGTGCTCAGGTAGTTGGCTTGAAATTGACTCAGCCTTCCAGCCTTCTGAAGTCAGTAAGCTGAGTACCCAGCTTGCTGGGGGGGGGGGCAATCTGTAGCCTGCATAATTAATTTTTTATAAATTTCCCAGAGAGAGCTTTAAGCACTATGGGGCAGCATACTTTCTATGTTTTTTGCACATTAAAGGTAAAAGCACAAGATTAAAAACAATTGTGTTCCTTTTCCATAAACTGATAAAGCATATGTCAATAAAATGTTATTGAAACTCCTTTCCACTCTTAATATATAGGTTTAACACTGGGTCCATGATCCCCCCGCCATTTTAAACACTCCCAGTTCATCAAGCTGATTATGAATTCATGAGCCAAATGGGTGCACATTGTTGTCCATCAATAACTGGATAGTAACTAGGCACAGCTTGTATTTCAAGGGGACAAGACATTACTTGGAGGACTTGCTTCCAAGTATATATGTATGAGGATTGGATGCTGCCTTGCTAACCCTGGACAAGAGGAGTCCTCAATATCTCATATGTTTCATAACAGGCAGTATTGTGGCACCTTAAAGATGAAAAAGATTCATTTAGCACAAGCTTTTGTGGACTGCATGCCACTTTTTCAGATGCAAATCAGATTGTAGTCTACCTCTTCTGATTCAGATCTATACTTCCAGTATATATTTTTACAAGAAGTACAAATTCCCATGATTATGGAACTAGTTGGTAGCATGAAAGAATTAGTGTGGCATTGCACCAAGATTTGGGTGAAGTACAGTATCTTAGTTTATGATGATCCAGTGGCTATGTATCATTGTCCTATGGTAAATTTCTGATGACTACTGTAATGCATATGTACAGTTTTTAATATTTCATTACTTAAGAATATTTTTTAAAATGGTCAAAACATAATTTTTGCTCATTAATTTTTGATGCCCCACTGATTTCTTGTGAGAACTTAAGAACAAATCAAAGGACTGTGCAGTTGATCTAGTTCAGTGGTTCTTAACCTTTTTGAAAGAAACGCCCCCTTGAGCCATTGAGGAAGTTATCATCGCCCCCCTCCCCGCAGTGATATCTTATTTATTTATTTATTTGTTTGTTTGTTTGTTTGTTTGTTTGTTTGTTTGTTTATTTATTTAAAGACACTTAAATCCAATGACCCCTGAAAACAAAA